GACCTCTTCTCAACATTACAAACTATGGACCTCTTGAAAGCTTCTCTTGCCTTGGTTTCTATTATTCTATTTTTTCCAGGTTCTCTTCCTACTTCCATCAGTGTTCCTTCTGTCTTCCTTTTTCCTGGTATTGCTGTATTTCCAGATTCTCTTGCTCCCTTGAGCTGTTTGAATAACTATGATATGCTGCTGACTTCCAAATCCACATCTCTGTGGCTCCAGGTACCTTCAAACTCAGTATGCCTGACAAGGAACTCATTTTTTACATTTTTTAATTTTTTAATTTTTTTGGAGACCAAGTCTTTGTTGCCTAGGCTGGAGTGCAGTGGTGCAATCTCGGCTCACTGCAATCTCTGCCTCCTGAGTTCAAGTGATTCTCCCACCTCAGCCTCCCGAGTAGCTGGGATTATAGGTGCCCACAACCATGCCCAGCTAATTTTTGTATTTTTAGGGGTTTAGCCATGTTGGCCAGGCTGGTCTCAAACTCCTGACCTCAGATGATCCACCTGCCTTGGCCTCCCAAAGTGCTGGGATTACAGGTGCGAGTCACCGTGCCCAGCCAAGGAACTCATTTTCTTTTTCCCAGACCTGCCCATTCTAGTCTGCTGAATGAAACTGCCAGGCAGCTAGTCACCTAAGATTATCCTGGAGTCACATGGGGCCATCCCCTTTCCTCATTTCCCGTATCTAATCAATCTTGTCATTTCTACCTCTTTGAACTCTTCAATCTGTTTCTCTTTTCCACCTTCACATTGCAGCTGCCTGGGGTCGGGTCCACCTCCTATCTTGCCCAGGCTACGGGCTTTGCCTCCTCTTTCGTTTCCTTACAACCATTCTTGTCCTCCTCCAACCAGCCTCTGTAAAAAGTTCAAATTCACTTGGTTCAGCAAAGTGATCTTCCTAAAACACAATATGATCAGATTACAAATATGATCAGTTTAGCCTTTCCTAAAACACAAACATTATCAATTTACACTTAGAGGTCCAAGTGTACTGAAGAGGGTCTCTTATTAGACTCCCGATCCAGTGTGCTCCATTTCCAAATAGACTTCCACGTCTGCCTAGCTCACCAACATTACCTTTCCACTCTCCACCATCTTCAACCTGTATCTTCCTGGGTGTGCCGCCAGGCTGCTCACGGTTCTAAACGCCAGGCAAAACAGTCTCCTGCCATCTCCTGCCCTCCCGACACAGGCCTATCTGGGGAGGACTCTTTGATCTTCCAAGAATCAGCGTAGCCTGTCTCTTTGTGAAACCCTTCCCAGCTCCTCAGCCTGTCCCCTCACAGCTGAATCATTCATGTCCCCTGAGTGGCCTCCATTGGCTCTTTACAGGCTTGTGTCCTCGCAGAGATAACCTGTTGCTGCTCTTTTTCTCATGCTTTTCTCTATTAGATTTTAAGTTCCATGAAGGCAAGGACTATGACTTATCCACGTCTATATGTCGTGACTGGTATACTGCAGGTACTCAGTAAGTGCTTGTGGCATGGATGAGTGAAGATGAGCTATTGCCTTCTTGGAATGAATGACCCTGCTGCTCAGCAAGGCAAATGATCCCCTAGGTAGTGGTGTTTCTGTGCGTTGTGACCAATGTGGCAGCTGTCACACTGACTTGTCACTCTAGTCAGTAGGACTGAGGTGTAAGACTTTCTCCTAGAGAAGTGGCTCCTGCTAGCTCTAGGGACTCTCATGACAAAGAGAGCAGAGGGGAAAAGCAGTTCATAGACTATGATGTGGGTCCAGCCCTAAGATTAAGAAGGTTTACAAGGCCGGGTACGGTGACTTATGCCTGTAATCCCAACACTTTGGGAGGCCGAGGCAGGCAGATCACAAGATCAGGAGTTCGAGAGCAGCCTGGCCAATGTGGTGAAACCCTGTCTCTACTAAAAATACAAAAATTAGCCAGGCATGGTGGCATGTGCCTGTAGTCCCAGCTACTTGGGAGGCTGAGGCAGAAGAATTGCTTGAGCCCAGGAGGCGGAGGTTGCAGTGAGCCAAGATCATGCCGCTACACTCCAGCCTGGGTAACACAGCAAGACTCCATCTCAAAAAAAAAAAAAAAAAAAAAGAAAAGAAAAGAAAAGAAATTAAAAAAAAAAAGAAAAAGAAAAAGAAAAAAGAAGGCTTATGAAAATGGACACTTACTGAGGCCTTCAGGGAGGGTGAGGAGAGCTAGGAGGAAGCATCCTTGGGCCAGGCTGTGGGAAGGAGCGAAGGGCACAGGTAGGAATTAGGCAGTCTCTATGTAGTGCAGGACCTAAAAGGAAGGTAGACACATCACCTAGGAAAGCTCTAGTTTGGAGATGCCCCAAACTCTCACAAATGGGGTGTGAGGCATATGATTCACCCCTCCCCCACTCCACCTCATTTCCCACCTTCAGCTGGGTCCTGAAGACTAGTCCCCAGAAAAGCAGGAGATGCTATGGTGTTGAAGAAAGCACAGGACCAGTAGGCCGTGGCTTTAATGATGGATTGTATGTGAGCCTGGGTAAATCGCTTACCTTCTCTAAGTCTCAGTTGCTTCATCAGGGCACACTCTGACATGCCTCAACCACTTCCTAGGATTGTAGTAAAGGTCAACTCATAATGATGACGATAGCTATTCTTTTTAGATCACTTCCTATGTGTCAGAGATTATGCTAAACACTTTACCATATTTTATCAATACTAACAACATCTCTATGACATAGAACTATTATTAGCTGCATTTTACAAGATGAGTAAATTGAGGTTTAGCGAGGTAAAGTCCAATGCTATCAAGTGAGCTGATGGAGCTGACAGAGGCGGCATTTCGTCTGTGGAGCCAGCATTCTGGTTCCCTGATCTGTATATTTAGCTGTGCGGCTGACTTTACTGTCTAGGAGTGAAGCAACCACAGGTCCCCTCTGGGACCCCTGGCCTCACAGCCACAGTAGCAGCACTTAGCAAAGAATAAGGAAAGACACCTCCTTCCCCCTTGGCTTCAGAGATGTGCTCCTGAGGAGCTGGCTTTCCCTTCCTAACTGCAGGAGTTGGTGACTGTACTGGGTTGAATAGTGTCCACACAAAATTCGTATCTACCAGGAACCTGTGAATGTAATCTTACTTGGAAGGAGGATCTTAGCAGATGTAACCAATTAAGATCATTTGCACTCATACTGGATTAGGGTGGGCCCTAATCCAACGACTGGTATCCTTATAAGAAGAGAGAAATGTGGACTGAGATGTAGACGTAGAGGGAAGATAACCATGTGAAGACATGGGGTTATGCTTCCGCAAACCAAACAACACCAAGGATCCTGGGAACCACCAGAAGCTAGAAGAGGCAAGGAAGGATTCTTCCCTAGAGCGTTCAGAAAGCACATGGCCCTGCCAACACCATGGTTTCAGATTTCTAGCCTCCAGAACAGTGAGAGAATACATTTGTTATTTTAAGCTACCCAGTTTGATAGTAGCAAACACACACAGTAACCCACCACTCTGTGCACCACAGCTGGGTGGACAGAGCATGGATTGGAAACCACCTAGATGGACTAGGTGGGGTGAGCCTATTTGTGGCAGATGACGGAGAGGAGAATAAGTTATTTACTCATTCAGCTACACTGACCAACTTGTAGACAATGCCTCCCCATGACTTTATGTGATTGTGTGTACACTGTGTCTGGCGAGTGTGTTTTCAGCTTTATTTTTTCCGGATATGATAATGGGAGTTCTTCACGTTGGTGAAACTTAGGTGAGAATTCCATTTAATAAATTGTTCCCCCTACCTCTTGGCTGTCCTTACCACCCCTAGATCTCAGATGGTGAAACTGTGCTTAAAGAGGTTCAACCCTTGCCCAAGTTTTCAGTTAGTTAGTAAGAAGCAGAATTCAGATCCAGAATTATCTGACTGCAAAAATTCTGCCCTTTCCATTATATCAAGTTCTTTCTCAAGCTAAAGAAAGTGACCTTTTTTCAGAAAGATATGGAGTGATTTGTTTACTTTCTTAAGCATTTTTTCTAGATTTGAAAGTAACATTTATTTGAAAAATATTTAAAAATTATTGAAATGGTAAAATAAAAAGTAAAAAAAAATTATGGCAATAACTACTGTTACTATTGGGTAAATATCCTTCCAGTCTTTTTTTCCTATAAATACATATTATCAATACAATTTGAATAATGCTGTGAACAGTTTTGCATTTTGTTTTAATTTAACATTATCTTGTAAGCATTTTCTCATGTCATAAGTTTTTGTAGACAGGATTTTAAATTACTAAATAATGTTTCATCATATGGATGGGCCATAATTTAACATTTTCTATTATTGTCTACTTAGTTTCCACCTTTTTACAATAATAAATATACAAGTTAACATTTTAAATAAACATCTGTCCTCTTATTATTTCTTGAAGACAGGGGATCATACTGGGTAAATGGATATGAATATTCTAAGGCATTTGATGCATAATGACAATTGTTTACCAAAAGGGTTCTACCTACCCGCCCAGTCAGAGTGCCTGACACGGCACCCTTACCCATACTGTCATCAGTAAAGAGCTTTGCTATGTTCTGAAAAGGAGCATGCCGCAATTCCATCACACAGGCTACCGCGTCCAGCGGATGGCAGGGGGCAAGACCAAGCAGGGAAACCAGTTAGGAGACCGTAGCGATGATCCCAGGGGACGCGCTGGGGGCTTGCGGCTAGGCGCAGGGATGGAGGAACTGGAACACGCACGGGATTCGTAGAATATTCGACAGGGGCGGGGGATCGACTCTGATAAGATAATTCTGCGTTGCGTGGGGTGCAGGAGAGGGAGGAGACTGCACGTTCGGCTCCTGCCTCCTCCGCGCCGGGCTCGGCACCGATCCGCGAGGTTGGCCGAGGCGTGAGCCCCGCCCACCCCTTTAACAGGGACACTCCCCTTTAAGGCGGGCGCCCGCGCGCGCCCCGGCCCCGCCCTTCGGGGGCGCGCGCGGCGGCCGCGGCGCCGGCTCCGCCGGGAGTGCACGTGCTGGCGCCGGGCGGAGGAGAGGGAGGCGGGAGCCGGGCAGCGGGAGGAGGGGAGGCGCCGGGGGCGCGCGCGCGCGCTGGGCGCTGCTGGGCTGCGGCGGCGGCGGCGGCGGCGGCGGCGGCGGCGGCGGTTACTATGGCGGAGTCGGCCAGAGCCTCCTCCTTCTTACCCCTTGTTGTCCTGCTGCTCGCCGGCAGCGGCGGGTCCGGGCCCCGGGGGATCCAGGGTGAGTCCTGGGGCGGGGGGCGGGGGCCGGGATGGAGAGGGCTGGGCGAGGGCGAGGCCTCGAGCCGCGGCCGCTGGGCTACAGCGCGCCCCCTCCCCACGCGCACAATATGGCCGGGTGGGGGGCGCGGAGGAGTCGGGGTGACCCCCAGTCAGCTTCCCAGACCTCGGAGGCGCGGCTGCCCTTCGGCGGCGGAGCTCACGCCGGGCCCCTTGGGACTCGAGCCCTGTTCCAGGCGGAACTGGATTCGGGCAGCTCTTGGGGGTCGCGCTCCCAGCGCCCTCATGTTCCATAGAGGAGAGCCTGAGCTTCCAGCCTCAAGATTTGGAGGTCCATGGTTTCTGTCCTTCACCGTGTCCAGGGGCGGGGGGCTTTCTTCCCTCCCTCCAGATGCTCCTGGGGGGCGTCTTTCTCCCGCCAAGATTGTGGGGTTCGGGCGGTGGGGTCTTAGCCTCTCCGAGAGATCCTGATGTTGAGAGCCCGCGCACCTCGAGACTGTAGGGGAAGGGGTCTCTAACCTTTCCTTCAGGTCCTGCACTTGGCGTGTTTCTTCCCCTCCCTCCCCTGCCTCCCTAATGTTCTGGGAAAGGGAGTCACATTTCCCCTTCACTCAATCCCTTGAGTTCAGTGGGGCAATCCCCCCCTCCGCCCTCCGGCACACATGCCCCGTGGAGGCTATTTGGAGGAAGTGGGACGAACAGGCCCCTAAACCTTTTTGGAGCCTAGCTTTGGAATCCCTAACCCTATGGAACCGAGTTCCCCAAGGGTTGATCTGAATCTAGGTGTATTTGCTTTCCTCCTCGCTTCCCCTACCCTACCCCGGGGGGCCCATTCAGTTAATCACTTTGTGGATGACTTTCAGGTGAAATCTTAGAACGTGTCTCCTACCCCCCAAGATTATTTAAAGATCCCACCACCGGACTGTATCCCCGGCCCTTGGTCAGTACTTATTTACCTTCCTACACGATACCTCTTCCCAGCCCGCCCACCCTCACACACCCCTTACCTTCCAATCCCCACAGTCTGCGGCTCGCCTTATACCACCCCCACTCTCCCCTCTGTAGAAGCGGGTACCTTTTTGCGGGACACTCCGCTGGCTGTGTTGTTTTTGAGGCTTTGGGGGCTGAGAAGAGCAGATGAAACCCTAAAATATTTCATTTAAGAGAGTCCTGGCGAATGTGTTTTGGCCTTGAGGTAGTAGATGAAGGTTATATTTGGCAGTTATATTGAAGCGATTATTGACCCACAGATGGATCTGGGAGAGATGATCAGGATTGTATTCGCTCCCAATGTACAAAGCCTGCTGCTTTGACTTCTCAGCAGCCCCTAACCTTCCAGCAATGGGAGATCAAGTGTGTTCTGTGGCTCTCTTCTCCCCTAAAAATAATGATTCTCAGGTGGATTCAGTCGTCTTTAATAAACCAGTCAGTCAAGAAAAGACACCATGCCACTTTGGAGTCTCAAAAACAAGTTCATTATCTCCGGCTTTGATATTTGTTCCCAGTGGTGGAGCCTGTGCAGCGGGGTCTTTGTTCACGGGCTAATGCTTCTGCTAAGCACCTCGTGTGTGTTCTTCGGCCTCACTGCTCTGTGGCTGAGGGGTTTGAGAAACATGGTGAAGGTGTATGAACCGAGCTTGACATTTGTGGTGAGATAATGATTTGCATGAATAAGGATGTTCATCGGGCCTTATTAAGGACCGTTTTTTGGAATGTGTAACATTAATGTTCTCTACTGGGGTAGGAAAAAAAAAAGGGGGAGATTGAACCTCTAGGTTTGTCATGTTATTTGTGTATGTATAAATCTTTAAATTCCTCGTATAGGAATTTTTATCCTGCCCCTTATCCAGGATTTTTAACAGTCATTTCCCTGCTGATTTGATGTAGTGTTTGTGGGGTTTTTCTGGTTGTGAGCCTAGTTAAGAATGTTTGATAATCCAATTGGTTCTGATTGGGGCAGAGTTCATTTTTTTGTAATCTTCCTAAAATGGATGTTTGTGGGGGTTAAGGTGGGTGGGTAAAATAGGGAGTTCGTTTCTTTTTTTGGTAAATTGGAAATTAGGTTGTGTGTCCAGCAAACATTCTCCAGGGCATTTAAACTTCTTGGCCAGACACTACAGTTTTTTCCGGGTCTAGTTGCCAGTAGTGCATGCTATGGAGACCACTGCTGCAAAAGGCTTAAAGTAAAACGTCAGTTCTGGGAAAATAGAGGCTGTGGGATAACAAGAAGTTGATTTTTTTCCCCTCCCCTGCATTTCCTATATAGTGCTCCCCTACGTGGGCTGGAGGAGTGACAGAGCCAGGCAGCTCTGATGCCTGAAGATGCCTGGTACTTGGACATGATGTGAGGGCAGTAAGGGATAGGCATTTCTATTAATGAATTAACTAGGACTTAGGAAAAGGCCAGTGATAAGGAGAATGAGTTTCAGTTAGAAATAGCATCCGTTTGATAGGTGTACACGTTTTAAGGCCTGGCTTTGGAATTTTCACATTTAAAAATGTAAAATTGAGTTAGTAGCAGGAGAACATGACATTCATTTCTTAAAACAAAAGCAACAAGAGAGATATTTGACATTCTCATAGGAACATTTTGAAATTTTGTGAGCGGAATGAAAATCTAATTTCAAGCCAACCCTTGTAATTTTGTTGAGTGGACATGGATTTTAAGTACAGTGGAAGTGCAGTCTTGTAGAGGACCTCTGATTAGTTTTGTTTAAACAGCTCCTGGAGCAGATGTGATAAAACATATTAAAATGGCTACTCTGGTTAAAGGTTAAAGCCAGATGGAGGGAGGAGGCTGGTTTTCAGCCCTAGAACTTAGCTCTCTTACAAGTTGTCCTTGAACAAGTAACTTAACCTTTCTGTGACTGGCTCAGTTTTCCCTCTGTAAAATAAGGAAATATTTTGTGTCACTCTTATTGGGACATTTGTGAGTCTGACTTACTGATAGCCAGTTGGCGGGGAGGTATTTTTAGACACGTTTCTGACTTCAGTGAATAAGCAATGCTGGGTTACTTTTTTATCTTATGGAGCAGAAAAACATACTCTGTGATTGATAGACGTACAGCATGTCACAGTGTGGTTAATTTCTTTTTGTGCTTTTTTGTAGACCCCTTTCAGATTTCCTCAAGTTAATTTCTGTCTCTGGCAGGCTCTTACATCGTTGACTAGGCAGCATACCTGTGCTAATCAAAGACAGTCTGGAGGGAGTGACCTGCTTTAGGCTTTATTGGTTTGGCAATGTTTTAATTCTTACGCAACTCTGGGTATGTTTATGGCACTATGTAAATGTTACATAAGAACATGGAGGCTGAGAAGTGGCCAGAATGGTGACTGTGAACACAGGAAGGTTAGACTGAGGACTTTATCCAAAAGGACCTTGGGAATCTGCAATCAGTACAGGAAGAACCTGCACTTTATTTTCCTCTAAGAACCTTTTTAGATGATTATGTCTTTCAGGTGGACTGCTGTGTTATAAATAGGTTTATTCTCCACCGGTGAGCTAATTGTAACCTTGCTACCAAAATATGAATCAGTAAACGATGAGATGTGCTGCTTCTTCCAGCATGTCCTGTTGAAGCTGCTTGTTGCATTTTGGAACATGAGTTGAATTGGGTTGCAGTCTGTTCTCATAATAACTGAGGAGCACAGGGTGTTGAGGTGGAATGGAATTCTCAGTTCGTGGTGCTTTAGGTCATCTTAATTTTTGAAGGTTAAATACAGAATACTGAAGTGGCTCTTTATAATTTTGAAATCTTTATTGTTTACTGTTCAATTTTTGCTCAGAGTAGCAGTGAACATTAATTCTGGGATCTCGCCTCTTTGTCTTCAGTTCTTGTAAGGGGGTCTTAGTCTCGTTTTCCTCTCTGTATTCATAAAAAGGAAATTCTAGAGTCCTTTCTCACCAGTGCTTCTGATGCTGGACATACTGCAGGCAGCCACAGCCCATCAGTTCCTCCTGGACTGGGAATGCGGGAACCTTTTAAGTCCAACTTGCATTTCTTTCACTCTGCAGGCACTGCCTCATGGCCAGGTTCAGATACCTGCTCTGAGTTTCTGTTCTTCTCAGTTTTTCACTCTCATGCATGGTTTAACTTGAGCTTTGGCTTCAGAGGCACCATTTCTGTCCATGTCTGTTCTCTCTCCTCTGTTATGGAGAAATGGTATGCTAAGCAAAAATACGATTTCAGAGAGTATCTTTCTTTCCTTTACTCTGTAGAGTTGCCAGAGTTTGGTTTAGCTGTGACGTTTCCATCCCAGGCAATCTTTATCTGCTCTCTAGGGTTCAGAGACAGTGCCACTTTACGCAACTCTGGGCTTTTTGGTTTTCTTTAGTCTCCACCCAATCTTAAGCCTGCATTTGTCTCCCTAAATATTTTGAATTTAGCATAATGAAAGTAACTGCCTTTCCCTTTAAACCATCACATCACCCCTAATATTTACACAGTTAACATATAGGAGATTTCTTCATTCATTGGGTTGGGTATGTGCCTGGAACAGTTTTTGGCATGGGGATTTAAATAACAACAAGATGAACAAAAGTCCCTAAATCTCTGCTACTATGGAACTTGCAATGCTTAGACTGAAAATAAATAAGTAAACTCAGTTAATCAGTCCATGAGTGCTGTGAAGAAAATAAAACAGGATGCTGTGCCATAGTGTGCCTGGAGCTGCCATTTCACCTCTGTCTCAGCTTCATTGTTTTATCTGTAAAATGGGGCGAATACAGTCTTGTTACTCGTGGTAGTTCTATAAAGTTGAATTGTAGAACTGAATTACCAAATCTTCAGCCATTGTTCCTAGGGGAAATACAGGGTTAGGTTCCTGCAAGCCTCTGGTCACTTTTTCAACCTGTCAATACATAACCTTATTTTATGTGTTTCTTTTTTTTTCTTTTTTTTTTTCTTTTTTTGAGACAGGGTCTCGCTCTGTTGCCCAGGTTAGAGTGCAGTGATATGATCTCACTCACTGCAGTTTCTGCCTCCTGGGCTCAAGCAATCC